AAACATTTTATTTTATTTTTATATATAAAAGGTGAATATATATTTAAAAAAAGCTGAAAAAGAATTAATAATTATATTAAGGAATAAAGGAAACAAAGAAAGAAGACAGTGGGTTGTTTGGTAACACCATTGAAAGAGAGGTCAGATCCTCGTCGTGAGAAAACTGGGAGAGGAAAAAAAAGAGAGAAAGAAAGAATTAGAGATTTCGATCTGATGGGACCAGTGGCTCAGTCTCTCTCTCTCTCTCCCTCTCGACGAACGATTTTAGAGAGAAATGAAGAGAAAGAGAAGACTGTGAGAATCCATCCCATATTTTTTTTTTAAGAATTAGGCTTAGGCATTCTATAAGTGTATATTATCACTATTTGTATTTTTGTGTAGAGAAACATAAGTCCACAAAGTACACACTAACTTTTCCATGCTCTCTCCATTCCTAAAAGATGTTCCTTATTCGAACGACTTATAAATTTTTGTGATTTTTAAAATAAATTTATTTACAAGTTAGGATTGAAATAAAAAAACTTGCATATTTAAAAACCATATAAAAAAATTTACGAAACAAAAAGTGACAATAATATTTTATTTTATCAAATGATCAATGAAAACATACAAATAAACAAACATTATCGAAAGACCGTAGCGGTAAAGATGTAAATCATTTTGTGGCGGAGTAGTAGAATTTTTTAATTTTGTCTTCTTGAATAAAATGAAATGTTTCTTTGAGTATTATATGCTTATTTTCATTTGGCTTATATATATAAAGATCACTAAGGTCCATATAAGAATTTGTATTTTGTGTGATACTATTAAGACTTTTAATTTCCAACATTTTAAAAGATTATTGAAAAATGAGAAAATTATGATTAAAATTGATGGATACTGGGATGAATATTTGGAGAGAGAAGGGTTGCAAACCACTCATCTTTTTTCCTAAAAGAAAATGGATAAAATAAATAATTTATTGTGAAATTGACAAAAAAAAGAGTGACTTTTTGCTATATTGGTGTGGAGTGTAAGAACAAACTTTGAGTCATTCTTCAAATATTCTTCATGTTTTCACAATACTCTCCATCTTGCAAAAAAAATTATTCTTTTTATATTCATGTTAATAATAACTTTTGACTTTATTTTTACATTTCTTTTTATATGAAAATAATGAGCTCGCAACTATTTTTTTCTTTTTTAACTACATGCCGGAGTATAATTGTTTTATTTTTAATATTTTTAAAATATATCACTAAAGTCAAATAAAGATATTATCTAATAAGACAAAAAAGTAGTATCTCAATTATAAAATAAATTCTCATTATTATTTTCCATTTATCCAAAACAAATGCAGAGTAATTTGTATTCAGTATGTCTTTTGTCACAGATACAACTTTTTTTAGGAAATATGCTAAAGTCACAAAAACAAGGCTCAATAAATATATGAATTTTTCTTTTGTATATTTAAATTTCTACTTTTAATTGTTCAAAATCATTTTCTTCTCTTGATGAAATACATAGATAGTAAAATTGTGGCATTTCTTCCCTTTTCAATCTAAGTACAATTATTAATAAAGGTCAAAGTATATGATTAGTTTTAATACAAAAGTATGACATCCCATCCTCAAGGGCTCTTAGCATCAGTCAGACAATTAGCTAAGAAGTATAAATTGCGCTATAATCTCAGTTGGTTGCAAAAGGACAAATTACATGTCTATTACTTGCAAAAACTTTATGTTTTCCATGCCTATCATCACAACCACCATGCTTCGAACTCTGGATTTCTCTTTTGTAACACTCATATGCTAAGCTACGCCTCATCGACAGAAAAGAGAGAAGAGAGAAAGTGTGTAAATCACATACAAAATAAAAGAAAAATAACCCTTTAATTTTTAGAATCAAACAAAAACAAAATGTAAAATATTTTGATGAGAGAGCATATATGGAGATGGAGTACGTAATATGTTCTATTGAAAGCAAATTAATTGACGTGCCAACTCTTTGTCTTGAGAACCATATATTAGCATTCTTTAGATTGTGTGATTAAAGATCAATCAATTACAATCACAAAAATAAGTCGGTCCATAAAATTGAGAAAAACAGAATGATGCCACCTGCCGGTGAGACATAGTTCAGCGGTTGCATAGGAATGTTACAAGACAGAGATCCTAAATTTGCAGTCTGATCACTGCGATAAGACGTAATCATGTAAAACATGAAGCTTTTGCAAGTATCAGGGACGAAACTCTCCCTTTATACCAAGTGACTAAGATTATAGTTCAACTTACATTCTCTCTTCCAACTGTCCAGCTGGTAGTCAGGGAGCCTCCGGGATGGGGTGTGACCCTTTTTTTAGAAAAACAATAATTTTTACTATTACTTCCATCTGGATTTTATTTGGTCACAACTTACAAATGAGTTACTCAATAAATTATGAAAGAAAAGAAATACATTTATTACTATTCTGGAGTATCTTTGTCTAGGCTTATACTCCGGAGTAGTTGTTTTTATTAAAAAAAAATAATATCTGATGTAGGGATTCATATAAGTTACTCCATCCATCTCAAAAATTCCTTCCCTTTTCTATTTTTCTTGTCCAACAAAATTTTTCTATTTTCTATTAGAAAACCACTTTTACTCTTATTAATTCTTAACATACCTATCACATTGTATTTTTTTACTAACAAGATATCATCACATTCTAATTATATCCATCACATTAAGAGTATTTTTAGAAAGTCAATGCAAATTTTCTCTCTTAAATTTTGTAAAAATCAAAACGAGAACATTTTATTTTTATGGGACTGAGAAAGTAACAAAGAATTCTTCGAAATTAATCCGTAGTTTGTACTTCATTGATTGCAATCATACTAAAATGCTTTTGGGTATCATATTTTTTATATCCTCGAACGATTTTTTTAAACTATACACCCCCTTTTGTCTTAATAGTTAATATGAAGTTTTCTTTTTCATTTGATTTTTTTTGACAAAATTTGTAAACTATGATTGTTATACATTGAATCGAATATCGTAATAAAGTCAAATATTTTTTTTTATAAAAAAATATGTAAAATTGACATTTAACTTCAAATGTCTAAAAAAAATAAAAGTCTACATTCAGATGAAAGAATTGTTTTGGCTTAGTTTAGGTACATGTGCTATATCAATGTTGTTTTCATTAACTTTTTTAATAATGCAAAAAAAGGGATGATCCGAAGGCCCATTCAGATCCAATTGGACGGTAATTGAGAGAAAGTAAATTGGACTTTAATTGTTGATTAGTGGCAAAAAGTGAAGTTTGTATTGGTATTTACAGATGTCTTATGTTTAGGATAGTTACCTTCTAACACAGTTGTCAGGAATCGAATTCGGGTCTTACCCCTTGCCACTCCTTGTCTTTGCTAACTGCGCACCCCAGATAACTTTTTTTTAACAATGCAAATTGCATTCAAGAAATTTATAAATAAAAGCTATGTTTATATTGCATTTTCAACATATTAAATTGACCATTGAGTCTATTATTAAATGCGAAATGCTAGTCATAAATACAAAGATCACAAAATATATAATTCTATTATTTGTGTACCTTATTAAGAGAGTAAAATGATTTTAAATAATTTAAATAAAATAAAAAATCAAATACACAACAATAGAGCTTTTATGTTGTTTAATCTCTGGTGGGATCCATATGAGATGTTAGAATTTTGCTTATCTTTAAATAGAGCTTTTATCTTGGTTTTCTTTATTTGTGTGGTTTCAAATTTCAATCCTCTTAAGTATCACAACTGTACCAAATTCCAAAAAGTATAGATTATTATCGACATCGAGTGCTATTGAAAATATTCCGTATTCTTGCCCCGCATATACTGTTCTTGGTTTGGTTTATAAAATGCTCCATAAAATATTTAATCAAAATTATTTTCTTTTTTAAAGAAAATTTCGTCACTGAAATTTTAAAGTTGTATGTTATTCTCTTCAATCAATTAGATCCAAATTACACGGTTGTCCACTTAAAGGAGAGTTTTAGAGGAGAGTTTTAGGATCGATAGATAATTGAATTTGATCTTTTGATGTCGTTTATTTTAAGTTTCTTATGATTAATTCTAATTTTGTTATCAATTAAGAGATGACTTGACTTTTTAATTTCATTCAATGACAATATATAAGAAAGGAGATATAGTTTAACCATATAAAAGGTGCTTATAATGTTCTGTCGAGTAATTGACTCTAAAATCAAAATTAACTTTGAGGATACACTTAAACGTGATGGGGGTATGTTTGGATCGGGTCGGGGCGGGGGATTTACCGGGGGTTAGGGGGTAAGAACCGTCAATATTACGAACAGATGGAGTATCAGAGCATACTCGGATCATCCAATGACATTGCCGGGCAATGTCATTGGATGATCCGCCACGTTTGGAAATACATGCAAATTATGTGTTTTTTAAACCTTTATTTATTTACAGACACGAATTGGCATACAAATGAATAATATCGAAGTAAAACTTACATAATAAAAAGTACATTAAAGGAGTGGGGGTTGTGTTCCGGTCGAGGCGGGGTGGGAGGGTTTACCGAGGGGGTTAAAGAGAGTAAAAACTGTCAATTTTACGAACGGGACACCAGAAAACCCACGGGTCATCCCATGACATTAATTCCAAATGTCATAGAAACCGGCCCCATTGAAATTAGTACGGAGTAACATGAGTATTGAAAATAGTACGGAGTAACCTGAGTATTTAAAACTAAAAATTAAATAGGGGAGTAATTGAAATTTTCTTTAAAAGTTTACTACTCAGCGGAGTACATTAATTTCTTACGGTCACATTCTTACAATGTTTACTACTATAACTACCTAGTTCATAAGATTTAATTAAAGGCACATTTGGTCGTTTTTAGTCAAATTATACCCTACTTTGATCACAAATTTAAGAGAAGTATATATTTTGTAATAATACCCAAGTATTCTCTTAATATAATCGAGTCATTTTAAAATGTACTTTATATGTCAAATTAGTTAATATAACACTTAATTAAAACAATCTATAATGACCAAAGCATGACAATGTTTGACTTAAATACGTACACTTTCTCCACACTTGAAGAAGGGATTGGAAACAAAAGTTAATCTGTCACATAATTTGTCTTATTTGATGAATAAATACCAACAATACTTGGGGACTTCATAAAGGTTTGGTAGTAAACTAACATCCCATTTGGCATTTGGCTTTAAACCTTTTCAGGAAAAGTATATAACGTCCGTCTTTAGTTTTAACAATACCTTTCAAAATTGTAACACGTACCACGAACATTGCTCCCAAACGAACCATTATTGTGCTTGGTTTTAACCCATTCACGGAGTACTCCGTATACTTCAGTCTGCCTTTGGGTCGTCAATTCGCCGGATTGCGGTTCCTAACCAATCCTCAGGAATTTTGCCTCTCAGGCTACCATCCAAGGCTTGGAGTGAGTGGTCAGTTCCAACCTAGAACACACAAAACAAGTCCCTCAATTCTTTTTCTTTTTCTACTTAAATAAAGGTAAATTTGTTGTCAAATAATACCAAGTTTGTGCAGTCTTCGGAAAATGATTTCTAAATTTGGTCCGATCAAGTCCAATAGTAGAATTACTAGTCCAAAGGGGTCTGGTCAGATCAAATTTTTTCAAAAAATAAAGGCTCACGACGTTAGAATGCAGATCATTCTTGGTCTACCGATGCAAACTTTGGACTATTTTTAACAACATTTAAACTTGAAATTGTTTCTTGAAGACTGCTCAAACTTGGAATTGTTTGCAGCAAATTTCCGTAAATAAAAACAAAAAGGCCAAGTCTAATGCCAAAAACAAATGGCACCTTCACAATGTATACATCAATTCCCAGTATTGCAATCATTGCAGCCTCAGATATTTTGGTAACCATACCCCCAGTTGTGTCATGGGAGGCCACTGTAAATTCTGATTCCAGGGGAAGAAGATTTTCACAAGTTATAATCTTAAGAAGGGGCAAAAAATGTAACAATTTTCTCCTGCGAAATGACATTTATGGAGTAACTATGGCCTTATTGACAATACCTGGAATGCTTGTTCTTAGTGATGCCGGCTTCAAAACACACCAGCTCCCGTCTTCACGCACAGCTGTATAAGTTGATTTGTTATTGCACACCAGCATTACCGGCAGCATAGCAGACCAAGTATAATTGTATATAGAAAAGAAATCTTCAAATGTTATTGTGATTATTCGGGCATCGTTTGCTGGAATTAACATCTTTCAAAAGGGCAAAATTGCGAACATAATCTGTCTAAAACCCGCTTAGAAGGCAAAAAAAGGTTAACTTAGAGCATCCGAACAGAAATATATACAAACTGTAATGTTTAAATGAAAATTATGAAACAATGTCTCACCAATTTCTCTCAGGAGTTTAGCCTCAGGGTCTGTTGGGGGGCGGTCATATACGCCATTCACATCTGTCTACAGGTTGGTTAAACATCAAGGAGAAAATGGAACCATGACGGTGAAATTGGACTCGCATCAATGATTAGGAAAGAACCAATCTCAAATACTGGAAATTGGGAGGATACAAGAAAAACAACGTATTCTGGCTTCAATTTTGCTGCCAAATAGCGTACGATCACATCTCCACTCAATATGGTGCATTNGTCTCACCAATTTCTCTCAGGAGTTTAGCCTCAGGGTCTGTTGGGGGGCGGTCATATACGCCATTCACATCTGTCTACAGGTTGGTTAAACATCAAGGAGAAAATGGAACCATGACGGTGAAATTGGACTCGCATCAATGATTAGGAAAGAACCAATCTCAAATACTGGAAATTGGGAGGATACAAGAAAAACAACGTATTCTGGCTTCAATTTTGCTGCCAAATAGCGTACGATCACATCTCCACTCAATATGGTGCATTCCTGAACATGTAAATGAATCAAAGTCCAAACCGATGACCGTGTAAACTGACCAATTAATATACATACTCCATTGAAGACTAAACCTGTGAACTATCGAGTACTGCATCTCCATGTAAAACCTGAACATCAAGGAACAAATACTACGTAACTATTATACCTTTGTCCAAGAGGACTCTGTTATGGCATTGAGGGAGTAAAAATTACTCCCATGTCCCCAAATTAAAGTTAGGGAGGGAATTACAAGATAAAAATGAAGTTTTTTAAATTTATTTTCTTTTCAAAAATTGGTATAAAAATTTTAAAAAATAAAATTTCCATATTTAAAAAATACATCAAAAGTTTTACGAAACAGTTAGTAGCATGACTATGTTATTTTATCAAATAATCAATGAAAACACATCAAACAAAAGTTATTGTCACCCTGTAATAGTAACTCGGAGTTTTATTTGGGGACGGAGGGAGAAATAAACTCCCAAACAAATTTCTTATTAAATGGACTGAAAAACTCACAGGTATGAAACCAGCATCAACTGCTTTAATCACCATAGAGACTTCAGCTTCTGCCATCTGTAGATGCATAAGTTCTTAACTTTTCAACTAATTCATGGTTATAAGCAGCTAAAGCAATAATAAAAGATGATAATTTGTTTAACAAATTAGATCATCTGGTTTCCTTCTAACATTTCTTTGACAAGTTGACCACCCGCATGAGAATGGGGACATTCCAATAGAAGGAATACCCTCTGTAAGAAAAGAAAACCACTGGTTAAGAAGTGGATTGGGCAATATAGAGGACTACCTCCCTAAGTGCTTGTTCCTTTGTGGCATCTTATGTGATGAAAAAATTATAAAAATATAAGAAACTGGCTATAATTTGCATAATTTGGTTTGGGCATGGAATGCATAAAGTAAAAAAAGTGGCAGGCTATGTTGAGCATTTATACTACGCTGAAAAAATTGCAGGGGTACCTCTTGCTAGAGCTCTGACAACTTCAAGATTGAGAGATGTAACCTGAAAAAAAAATCAGAAAAAATACAAGAGAAAAGTTAAAGTCAACATTCTATACCCAACGTAAGAGAAGAATGACGCAAATATAAAAAAACATGGTAGTGTAGGATACTTGAAATCCCATAAAAGCACCAATGATCATCTAGATGCTAAGTATACAGTAAGACTCAAAATAGATGCCTCTTGAGAAATAAGAAACCAAGCACAAAAATGCTCCAACTTTTTTTATGATCCATGTTGAGAAACCCCAAACTAAAATTCCATTAGGAAATCAGTGATCCTAGGACTGAATAGATAGCAATGAGTTCTTTTCAAAGAGTAGACAAAATAATGTTCAAAAAAGTGGAAAACTAATGCTATTATCATTAAGGGAAAAAACTCACCGAAATACGTGTAGCAACAAAACCAGCTTTGACAATAGGTTTGCCCAAGCCGCCCTTCTGCACGCCAGATTTGCTAGCTTGAAAGTGCCCAAAAGAACCTTAATACACCACCACAAAGTAAAGGAATAACTGAAAACCGTAATCTGTGATCTTTTTCCAGTCTAAGTTTTATTTCCCTTTGGTAGGCTAAAAATTTCCGGGCGAGTTCATAATACAAGAACACACTAATGTAGGGCTCATTTGGCTCTCATTTTGCCTTTTTCTCATCCCGATTTTCAAAATCAGATGTTTCAGCTGTTTCGGAATTCACTGATTTTGGAGAATCAAGCAGTTGATTTTTTCTGAAAATCAAATTCTGGGAAGCATAATTCTTTTGAGAATCTAAAACAAATGCAACACTTCACAGATTTTGAGATTAGAATTGACAGTATGAGCTTTTCAAGACCAAAGCCAAATTAAGTCGTAGCTACAACTGACATACTCGAGTATATTTCCAGCAAAGAGACAACCAACCTGCCCCATGAACAACAACAAAACTCTTAGAATCAAAAACTGGTTGATCACCGAAATTGCTGTCAACACTCGGATGCTCAGATAAACCAGGCCTTTTACTCCAGTCCATTCCCACAACTCTCGGACACGCAGAAGAAGCAGACATCAATGTCTGCCTCAGCTGTGATGAAACCAGCATTAGGTTCTCCTCGTCTATGGTTTCTAATTCATTCTTAAATGTGATGGCTGCTCCTCCTGAAATTACAAAAACAAAAAAAAACACGAAACACCTATCATTCTGTAAATTAAATCTCACTGCAAATCAATCCAATCGAACCCACCAATCTATGTTTTTCAATTGAAAAGATTCATCTCTATAGAGCGACAATTGATTTAGGGCTACAATTTATAAGAATCTGGAATTAGAACTAAAGAGTTATGATTGAGAGTGCATAGAAAAAGCTACATATTTGATGGGAAATCATGAGAAAGAGGGATGGGAAAGTGAGGGAGTTAAGGATTCGGACCGAGTTTGACGATGCAGCGAATTGGATTGGAATTCTGGTGCTCCATATTCAACCTGTGTGCCCAAGCTATTGAGATTACTGTTACTGGTAATTGTTTCACTCTCAGAGTTTAGTCAAGGATCGATCAAGATAAATATCAAATTATGATCAATCCTCTTCCATATTTAAAAACGTGGATATGATAAGACATGTAATTCACCTTTTTTTAATTTTTTTTAAAAGTGCTATATTTACTAAGATCTCTAGAATGAATCTAGATTTTAGGATCATAAAAAAATTTGATATAAGATAAATACGGTCAATTATCCACTCTGTCTCAAAATTGGTATTACTTCATAATTTTTGTTTGCTTGTATATTTTTATTGATACTTTAATAAAATTAAATATTTTTGTCACCTCTTATTTTGTAAAACTTTCATTTTAACTATATGTATTAATGATTTTTATACCAATATTTGAAAAATTAATTTTATTAATTATTTTTACACCAACATTTGAATAAATTAATTTAGAAAAAAACTCCTAAATAAGAGTAAAACATAAGTCATATCTTCAAAATATAGTTTAAACTTAAACTCTTCTAAATAAAATTAATTAATTACATTTTTTGTTTGAATTAATTCTAACCGCACAAAGTAAAATGCCTCACAACATCACCCTTTTCCTTCTTCTTCGCATGTACAATTGCTATGTTGCCGGCCTCTGCCTCAATCGCCTACGATCTTCTGCCACCACTCTCTTTATTCCCTTCACCGATATTACTCCAGCCCTCATAGTACCACCCTACTCATCGTAGAGCCGCACTGCCCTCTCCCCTTTTCTCATTCCTTCCCACAAAGCTACATCCACACAACCCCATCTGTCCAAATCTAAAGTCTGATCCACCATATATAAGCTACGTTCTTGGCGGAATCCATAGATAGTGTGGTTGGTCAGAACCCTTGGCCTCGAGTTCAAAGTCATCACTGGATACAATTTTCATTATACAAAACTCGAAGTCGACAACTAGATCTCAGGATGGTTGGTCATCTGGTCACCATAACGGTGGTTGTGATCTGAGTGATGGTCTCCATAGTAGTGCGTGCAATGTTTGGATTTGACATAATTACCGCTTTGTTTAACAATGTAAATTTACATATTTGACATTATATATGGACATCTGTGGTATTATGCACTGCCATATGTGACATTATGTTTTGCCATGTGTGACATCATATATTATCATTATTGACATTGTATCGGTGACATTACGTGTTGCCATGTGTGACATCATCTTGTCATATTTGGCATTGTGTCTCTTTTGACACTGTATAGATAAATAATGTGGCACTGTGATCGATGACAACAGTGCAAAGTATGTCGACGGCTTGGGATGACAACTTGATTTTCATGTGGTGGTGGCGACTCCAGTTTGATAGCCCAACCCGCAAACGACCTGTGTAACACGATTCACCATAATAGTTTAACTTATGTATGTGTGATTCGTAAATAATAAGTTACTCTGTAATTCATATCAACGGTGGGTGTCAGTAACGGTGGCACAACATTACGGAAGGGGTAGAGCAGGGCAGCGGTTGGGGTGAGGCGGCAAGAGGTGATAGTTAGTGGCGGAGCCAGAGAAGACTTCTTAGGGGGGCAAAAATTCATTTAATAAGGCCTTGTTTGGGAAGAATTCTTTTCGTTAGCGTTTTGGATAAAATATTAACGGTGTAGATTAATTCGGAAAACGCTAACGCTAAAAGCTACCGTCAGATAGCCTTTTCAAAACGCTAACGCTAATCTCTGACGTTGATACCAAACAGGACCTAAATAAACAAAATTTATAACAGTAACTACGATAATTGGCAAAGTGCAATTCAACATACCTTCTATAGAAGAAGAAATTTCTTTTTCATTGTCTTTATCACTTACAAATTCTAAATTCTTTTTTTGTTAATAACAAATTTATCCATCTCACGTCTCAAAATTTTCTATTTCAATAATAAAGTAACAAAATAAAATATATATCAATAACCTTAAAATAATAATTCGTATATCTTAATCTCTAGAACTTAAAATTACATTAACATTTATCAAATATTGAAATAT